TGCTAGTGGGCAGCAACTTAGCGATCTCTATAAAATAATATTTTATCATACTTTCTCCTGTATGTTTTGAAGATTTATGAGCAATGAAAAAATGATAATAATGTAAAGCTTACAGAGTTTTAAAGAGCTAGAGGTGTAATTATTTCAAGTAGAATTCCTTTTACCTTGGAATCCCTGTACATACTATTGATCACATGCAGTTACTCTGCTGGAATCTAGAGAAATTCAAATCGTTCTTTACTGTTGTGCTAAATTTAAATGATTTTAATGTGCCAAAGCCCATTATTTATTTTTTTAAAAACTACAGAAACAAAAGGAATGCTAAAACATAATTCACTCAAATTTGCAAAAAAATATGTTAACTTTAGTAACCCATTACAGTTGCAAGTTAATGTAATAAAATTTTAATTTATAAAAATTAATATAACTTGTGACTTCCAGCTACTCTTTTCTTTTGTTTTACATTTGTGTCGAAATATGAACATGTAAAAGCAAGCTGTACAGTGACTTACAGTGTTTGACTAGGTCAGATATATAAATGTTCATCTCCGTTTCTTCAGCCTCATGTAATCACAAGCATTCGTGCTTAGGGTAATCACTATTAAAACTAGGTGGAGATGGGTAAAATTGTCAGTAAAAAGGTACTGAGCATTATGTCACAGTGTGTAAATGCAGAGTGAATACTAGGCAGTCTTATTCACGTGAAGACCATTGCCCTTAAACATCAGCCTAGGGAGCAGGACGGGAGCGAACCATCTCTCAGCGAACCTCAGCTTTTCCCCGGCAGCGGTGGTGCTGCTGTGCAAAAGAACCTCCCTTCCTCCTCTTGCTACTTGAGGTGCCAACATGACTATCAAAACGTTTAAATGGATTTATAGAGAAAGGACATGCAAAGTGAGGTAGAGTGGGGAATTAGCAAATTAAAGAATCTGCTTATGCAATAATTATCCAGAAATTTCTGATAAAAATGATAATTTTCATATATACACAATGTGTACATGAAACTGTTTTCATATTTAGTTCAGCACATGCTTTCATGTGTGTATACAGCATACATAGTTTTGACATAATAATGCAGTTGTACCAAAACTTGTATTACATTACCTTTCTGCTATTTTTTAAGTTCTCCATTTGTAAAAATTTAGTAAAAGCACTTTTCCAAGTTTCTCTGTGTGGTGTTCTAGAATGCTGAGCCCTCTAGTAAATAAAAGTAGAACCAGGAATAACTGAGTTCTAGTTCTATTATGTACGTTCTTACATACATGTAGAGCTTTAATTCTCGCTGGGTAATTCTCAGTAAATTTGTTTTACTTGTCTTCATTTTAATTTTTGGCGAGCAGACTTCTCTTTCTCCTTCAGTTAAGGTTACTATAGATTTTTATGAATAAAAATACATGCAGTGGCGGAAAATCTCTTCGATGAGCAGATGGCCTCTGAGATAGCAAGGTTTTTGCCATTTGTTTTAGTGCTTAAAATAAACATTATTTATAAGACCACTTACATTTTGATGTTACTTAATGAGGAATATGCATCATTGATTTGACTAGCTTAAGAGGTCATTGAGAACTTGCCCGTTAACAAGCTGTAATCTGCTGAGCACACAATGACTTTGTTTAAAATTATCCATTCAGAGCTGATCAATGACAATAATTGTTTTATACCAATCATTTCTGAGAGTTGCTGATTACTTTGAAGGGCATAGATATTAGCCATTTAATTAATTAATTAATTAATTTGGAAGTCATAACCTATTCTTTTAGATTAAGGAAAAATATTATCAGAATTCATCTTTCATCCTGAAAGTGCCTTTTATAAAAAATGAAATGTCCAGTTGTTAGTACTGAAATATCAATGGAAAACTGAGGCAAAATTGGTGATGTCATCTGTGCCTGTAACTGGTCATATAGTGGAAATCAACTGATGTTGTATGTTTTTATATGAACAAATTGAACAAACTACTAGTTTAACTAGACTAGCGTTAGTGTAAGAAAATGATATCTTTAAAAATGCACACATATATTCTCTCTTTCTCTCCCCACCCCCCCCGCCCAATAGATGAATGTTGGAGTCTGGGCTTTAGAATATGAGCAATCTGGGCTTGTATTCTGACTATGTCTTTGGTGTTTACAGGTCATATGACCTCCAGTAAACTTCTAACCCTCATTTTCTTCATTTTTAACATGGAGACCTTCCTCTATACACAAGGCTATTGGGAGAATTAATGTGGTAAGCATAATACCTGACACTTTCATGTAGCTCAGTAAATTTGAGATTCTTCCTTCCACTGATGGCGGTTTCTTCCCTCACTCAGGAGCTTGGTTCCTCCAGCTCTTTTTCACCATTTCATCTTGTACACAAAGCTGCTTAAACCTTGATCGATTATACTTTAGTGTGGGTGAGTTTTAACTTGTTACTTTAACTGTCTCTTACTTACTATGCCTTTTAGCATTCAGTTGTGGATAAAAGGATTTGGCTGGCAAAGGGAAGGTGTGCCTGGCTTGGCGTCACTGTCTAGGACCTGAGAGGGCTCTGGGGAGCAGCCTGCTGTAGTCTGCTGTGGTTGGCATTGTTTCCAGTAGCTGCTGGGTTGGGAGAGAGAAGGCGCCCGTTCCTTTGGCTTCGCTTTCCCTAGTACAGGGAACTCTGCTTGTTTTACCATAGATTTTCCACAGTGTCAGTCTTTGCCAAACTCTTTGCTCAGAAATGGACATACCTGCTACTCCAGTATTACCTGGTTGTAAACCACGGTCATCACACCTCTCAGTATTCTATCATACATTTTTTGGATGTTTTTTCACTTGAAATTCGGCAATACATTCATGTCATAGGGACTCACTCCATCCTTGGCACAGCAGGATATCCCAATACCTTACTTGTGTATCTTGAGTCACTTGTAGAGCTCGTACCTGTGTGCAGGTAACTGTGTGTGCAGTAGAAGCGTGCTGAGACAGCCAGCCAGGCATGTGACCGTGCCAGTTAGTTAGACTCAGCCGACGTGATTTCCTCCTCTTACTAGGAACCTATGATTCCTTCCTTACAAGGATACTGTAGGGTTGAATCACATGAGCTGGGTAAGGCTCACTCCCATGTATGATTAATGTATGAATACAGTTTACACTTAATTATTCTGATTCATTAGAAAATGGTTTGTACCAATTCCTTCTGTTTGTCAGCCATGATATGTTCCATCAAATTAGTGAATTTCTAAATTGAGTACTGTATAACTTTAGGAAAAAAATTTGTTTATTTAAAGAACATATCACTAAAATGAAACAATTTGAAAAATGTTTTTGAGAAATACTATTGTTTTGTCACATCTCACAGCTATTTTTTTTTTTTTTTTTTTTTTTTAACTTTCTAGTCTCTAGGATAGTTATCATCACAAACTGTATGCTGAGAGGTTGGCTAGAACATTTCCTTAAATTATCTGCATCTAATGTCTCAGATTGTACAATATTTGCAAAGTATCCTTTGACATGTCCTATGTCAAAGCAGAGAATTTAAAAAAAAAGAACACAACCTGAATTCAGTTAATCATTTATCCAGTTTATTCTTTTTCAATTAGCATTAAAGTTAAATTATTTTAAATTTAACATCTTTTAGCTCAAAAAGCACAGGTGTTGGGGATAATACCCAGTGAGCTAGGGTCTAACCTACTACCCTCTCCTACTTAAAAAACGTTTAGAGAAGATGGAAACGGTGCTAACACTGGAAGGACTTCATATCTTAATGAAAAAAAAATTATTCATAGCAGGTAAATCATTCATATAGGCATAGAAAATATTGGAAAATTATACAGATGAAAAATCACACAGAAAGCTTGCTTAATGTTTATCAATATTTATTTTTTCCTCTTTGCTATTTTCCTTTAAATAAATTCAAATATTTTTACACACAAGATTAATGTCACATTTTATAACTTTTGAATTCATCTAATAGAGATTGTATTAATAAATATAGGAGTTAGGGATTTTGATGCTCATAACTATTTGGGCTTTTTAAAAAATCTTTTTGGTAACGGGGACTGAACTAATAACTTTGTGTTTACTAGGCAAGTGCTTAAGCCACTGAGCTATATCTCTGACCCTGGGGCTTTATAACATATACAAACATATTTAAGTATGTTATACCCCATTACTCTAAAAAATTTTATGTTCTAGTAAAAAATAAAAAAACTAATCTGAACTATAATAGTGGATGTAAAGAAAATATTTCAATAATTTTATCACCAATTGTGCAGTGGCTTGACTAAGAAAATGGGTTTTCTTAAGCTTTGTTTTGATATCTGAATCTGTTGCTAGTAGCTGTATAATAGTAGAAAAGTGACTTAACGTCTTTTTGTGGCCACTTACTTTCCTGTCTATAAATGAGAGAATGACTGTTTATCTCATAAAAATGGTCTAAAGATTAAATGTATAAATAAAGGCAAAAACATTTATAATAGTATCTGCTGCATAAAGGAACTCAATAAGTGTTAGCTATTGGTATCATTAAGGAAGTATTTAAATCTCATGATTAAGATATAGGACAATATTTTCTTTTAAAGTTCTTGATGAGACTAAATTTTAGAAACCAGTAAAAATGGATGAAATATAATTGTCAAGAAAGTAGTTATGAAAAAACCTAAAATCCATTTTCTCACGAAGTAAAAATGATAGGCATTCATAAAGTGATATATATATATTTTTGTACCAGCCATGGAACTCATGACCTCTCCCTTGCCAGGCAGGCACTTACATCACTGAGCTAAATCCCTGGCCCATAAAGCAACATTTAAATCTTTTAATTGCTAAATTTACAGTTTAGCACTTTGTGAAACAAAAATTTTTTAAATGAATGATACTATCATAGTTTTTAATCTATATTTGCAGCTAATATTCTGTTACAGTAGCAAAAAGCCTGAGTTTATTTGATAAACTGTCAGACATAATTGCCTTAATTTTGAAGAATGATTATGTTGCTAATGAAAGCCATATTTTTCTTTTTATTTGCACCAACAGATTCAGAAACGATGGCGAGGCTATAAGGTTCGGAAATACTGCTTTAATTATTTTTGTTTCAAAGAATACCTTAGAGCCGTTTCAGAGGCCAATGATACAATTAGGTGAGTAAAAAAATCATTAGTGTACTAGTGAAAGTTTTAAGATTATCCAGGAGATACTGATTATTATTATGCTTAGAAATATGTTCTACAACTCAGTGATATTTGAGGCAGAATTTTACTGATAAAATATAGCTATGATTCTGCTTACCTTAAAATGTATTGTTATATATTAAAATATCTTGTCCTGATGATTATTACTTATATTCTTGAATATTGTTTATACCTGTAGTTATTCTATTTACCTTAAAAATACATTATTCTTACACATGTAAACATCTTATACTTTTGAAGATTATTTATGGCTATGGTATTCCGATCCTATGTAAAATAGTTCAGTGTCTATAAAATTACCAAATGATGCATTGCATTTGTCTGTAAAATGAATCCTTAAGTATGGTAAGTCTTAGATAACAGATGAGAAATAGTAGTAAGAATTTACCTCTTAATGAAGAAAACTTCATGAAACATATTAAACAGGAGTGTTTTACTGTCCATCTTAATTTTTCTAAATATCTACAATGATGGGACCTCAGTTTAGGATACAGGATATCATGTGTAGACATACATAGGGAAGACACTGCAGTGTTATTCGGTCAGCTTTTCCAAAGCTCTGTGTGCTGTACTTAAAAAACGGTTTCTGGCCTCATTTAATATGCCCCATTCTAAAGACATGTGAGTGCCCATATGCCTGAAATACATTTAGAAAGGAAAAGAAACGAAATAGTAATTAATGATAGTTGGCATTTATATAGCATTTTTACTTTCAATTTTTTCACTTAAATTTATCTTCACCCTTTAAATTCTTTGAACTAGAGAGAATAGTAGGTAATAATTCATTAAGGTAGAAGTTTTGTCTGAAACCTTAAAGTAATATGTATCATAATGTATATCTAAAAATTAGATTCTCCAATGCTTTCTCATGTATGTTATAAATATACAGGATCTGGTCTTTGGTAGTTAAGTATGGACAGTTTGTTAGGCTGCTTTGTTTGGAAAGAGCAGTAAAGGACTTGGGAATCTTCAGGATTTATTCCATCTGGGAAGTTGGAAAACTGAAATAAACCAACTGTAGAGAATTGCTTCTAGAAAAATCTAAAGTTCTAGAGACTGGCTGGCTATCTTCAGTGACCCACCCAAGGCTGTGTGGAGGAGGGAGAGAGGAACTGTGAGAAGGAGTGTGACTGAAGGGGGATATGTGAGGCTTTTTTTTAAAGAGCCAAAACTGGAGACACCCTCTGTCAATCTCTTGCAAATGCCAAGCCTGTGCTTGTAAAATGGTAAGCGTATGATCTCAGTTTTGCATTTCGGGGGTCTTGTTCGCTTTGCCTTAGTTCAAACCCCAAACAGGAAAAGGTATTCAAGGAGGTGAGCAGGTGGAAATGTGGGTTTGGAAAGGCCTGTGTTATGCTTTGTGTTTAAATGTCCCCACAAAGTCTTAGCAGACATGGGTGGTGGGCCTTTGGAAGGCAGCTGAGCCTAGCATTAGTGATTGGTTCATTGTCTAGCGCTGGGATTGGCAATGTGAGTGCTGCACCCACCCAGAGGTGGGTAGCTGCCATACAGTACAAGGGAGGGAAGGGGCACACTTTTCCCTTTTGCCCTTTTGTTCTAGTCACGTCTGGTGTCTGCTGCAGCTGCCATGTTGCCTCTCGGCCACATCACCTTAACTTGGAGCCAGCAGATTAGGGACTGAAACCTCCACGAGCTGTGCGCTAACCAAACTTTTCCTCCCTTCACTTAGGGTGTCAGGAGTTTTGTCTCAGCAACAAGAGAAATGTAAGCACAACAGTCTCTGTCTTCCATTTGATTGTATTTCTCTTAAGCCTGCTCTCATCCTGGTTTAATGGAAATAGCTCCAGTCTCTAGCCTGGTGTATCAATGCTGGCAATTGGTTTTAGAGTGGTATTTTTATTACATTACAGAGCTCCATTCTTTGATATGCACTTCTCAGAGTTTTTAAGAATAATTGTCACAAATGCTTCTTCATTGTCCATTGATAATAACCTTCTCACTCACTAGCACGTGAAGAAATATACTTTATTAATAGATAAACTAACATTCAATTATCAGTATGTGCCTTAGTTACTTTTCTTTTGTTGCGGAGACAAAATACCTGACACCCAAAGTTTAAGAAGAAAAGGTTTATTTATCTCACAGTTAGCTGAAGTTTCAGTCCATAATAGGCTGGCTGCAGGTCAGGGTGGTGCAGAAGGCAGCAAAAGCAACAGGAGCAAAAAGCGGGAAGAGCAAGCCTCTTTCCCTCCCTATACTGACCTCAGGCTCCCCGCCCAGCAGGGTGTGGTACTCGCACCATCCAGGTGCACTCCTCTTGCATAGCGTGTGGAGGGTTACACGGAGGACCCTGGCCACTTTAAGTCACCTAGTTAAACTTCTGAACTTCTCAAGCTGATACAGTGAATCAAACATAACAGTGTGTTATAGACATACATCTGACTCAGACACTAGTATTCTTTGGATTTATCACTAAGTTATGTTACTATTTTATGGAAGATAATTATATTCACTTCTGTCAGAATAGTTACAATTTTCCTTTGTTACAAGTATCAGTTTTAGTATTACGTTTTTGCTATATATAGCATGGGATTATTGCTCTTCAGAAACTTAAAAGGAATGATTCATAAAGGATTTGTAGGGTTTTTGGAGAATGTATGTCTTTAACATTTCCAAATCTTTTGTTAGGTTTTCATATTTTTCTTGTCTTTTTTAAAATTTTCAACTAGTGATTTAGTTTACATTATTAAAATAGATCATCTTTCTGTACATTTTAAATATGTACTCTGTTGCTATATTCTATTTCTCATTTTTAATATTGCTTATTTGAATTTTTGTCTTGTAGTCTCAAAATTATTGGAATTTACCTATTTTATTATTTTTCAAAGAATCACCTCTCATAATTTATATTTTTACTTCTTTGTGTCCTAATTATCTCACTTGCATCTAAAAACACCTTTGTCATATATGTAATACATGCCAATTATAGAAAAACTGAAAATACAAGTAATTTAAACAGAAAACAGCCAACAATTCCATCACTTAGAAACAGACATTATTAAAATTTTGAGGTATTGAGCCACCATGTATGGTGGTACATACCTGAAAAGCCCAGCACCTAGGAAGCTGAAGCAGGAGAATCTCAAATTTAAGCTCATCCGAGGCAACTCAATAACTGTTTGACTTTGGGAAAATTCTGTAATTTCCCTTTTCCTAAATATTTTCATCTAGAAAATAAAAAAGTGATATAATAATGCTTATTATGAGAATAATTATGCTATTATTATAACAGTAAATTAATATTATGACATGGTTAGGTTATACCTGATATATAATACATACTTCATAAATGTTAATGATTTTATTTCTATGCTAGCAAATATGTTATTGTAGCCATTTTGTCTCTCATTTTGCAAAATATTATGAATATTTTTATGTTAAAAAATATAGCAATGTCATTATTAATAGTAGTCACATTAGAAAGTAAGTTCCTGTATGTTGGAGATGTCAGTGTTGCAAGATTTTGCTCTTTTAATCAGTATCTAGTTATTTTTGTGGTAGTAAGTGGAAATTTTCCTTTAATTCCTGTGGTATAAATTTATTACTCTGTTTATTACCTTTCAGTACTTCTTGGTAATCAAAAAGTAGGCTGATGCTTGTTTTTCTGTGGTTTTTTCTGCATTCTTTTGATATATGATATATGATGTCCTCATTTTTACTTGCATTTTTATCCTCTTTGGAATTCATTTTTCAATGACTAATAGTGTTTGAACTTTTTGTGGTAGTTAAACCATTAAATTTCTTCATTATGCTCTACTCAGAAAATATATTTTGTACCCATATTACTTTAGGAAATTTGTTGAAATTTTCTTGTACATACTATTTTATGTGTACTAGAAATCAAATAAGTGGATTTCAATTTTCCATCCATACTAAATTATTCCTTTTTAACTAACCAACTAAATCTTTATCTCCATTTTAACTGCTGTGCTTTCAAACTTCTCTCATTTTGCTGTCTCTGTTTGGTTCTTTCTGTACATAAGTGAGGATTAGTTTGACTGTGTGAACTTCTCTTAGACTTTGTGCATGTTTGGCTCATAACTCCTCTGCTAAGTTTTGACTTCATGGAAATGCAGCTGGGTATCCTCTGCCCAGCCAGTGTTTGTCACTGGAGGGCCTCAGCCCCCTCGCTGTGGGCTCTTGGCATGGAGACTTCTGTAACCTCTTGCCTGCCTTGAAAGACAGCGTTTACTAGCTCTCTTTTCTCTTAGTCTTCGACATTCTCCAAAACAGATAGTGTTAAGAGGGATATCTCAAATCGTTTCTGTCTGCTTCAAGTCCATGTGAGGTAGCAAAGGAGCGCAAAGTTACATGCCTGAAAATCCCAGCACCCTAGGAAGCTGAAACAGGAGAATCATGGCGGGGGGGGGGAGGGGGATAAGCACCATCAGATTGTAGGGCACGTGCACTAAATAATTTCCAGGCAATGTCATGGAGTTCTCTCGGGTTCCTATGACATGTGGACTAAACAAAGAGGCAGACGTCTCTGAAAGTACACAACCTTGATTCTCCTCACAGTAGCCGGCCCTGTGTACCCTCTCTCACTCAGCCAGGATTGCTCTCCAGAGCCAGTTTCTTCCTACACCGCACTTTTAATTTTTCACATAAACTTTGTGATCATTTTTGCTTGTCTCATTGCAATTCTTTGTTCTAGAGGGAACAGAGCCTGGAAAGCAACCCCAAAAGGAGAGGTGAGCTCCACCAAACCCAGCAGCACCTTTGGCATTGGAAAAAAGTTGACTTTGGTGGGGGTGAAGATGCTTTGGGGTACAGTGCCCTCTTGGTCCTGCACTGTCCTCTCCCCATGCTCTCTGCCCGTGGAGAGCTTCATTCTTCTGCAGTCCCGCCCAGCCCAGCATGCCCATTTCCCCACCGCTCTGCAGCACGGGAGCCCCTTTGTGCCCATCACGCTGCTGCTCATAGAGTTA